AAGTTCATAGCATTTTGCATTTTACCACCTTTGGTAGAATGAGGCAGCACTAATCTATTCACCTACATACGCGTCCAACAAACAGCTATTTATGTTTGTCTTTTCAGCAAATATTTAACTATGTACTATGGAGCAGGGCACACAAAAAGATTGCAGGGGCCACAGAGGAAGATAAAACAAGGTTTCCAGTCGCAGAAGCTTTGTGGGGATAAAGATTTAAGGAGATATGAATTGTGATAGTTGCTGAAAGCAAACTAACTGAGAACTATTAAGAATATAAAGGAGTCCTCGTTTCAATGAGAATGTTAAAGAAAATTTCTTTAAGGTTACATTGAAGCTTCAGCAAGAGTCAACTTGGTGAGGAGGGAGGAAAAAGGGTGGTCCTTGCAGAGGGCATGTGCAACGGCCCTGAGGCAGAAAATATTTGGGGAGAAAGATGGTGTAACTAGGAGATGCGGCTGGAGAGAGATTCCGGAGGCAAATCGTGGTTTTTCCACCTAAACTGTAAAGAATTTGTTTTAATCCCCAAGTGCAAGAAGCAGCACTGAAAACTTAAAACACGTGAATGCTGACTTACATATTCAGAAGCTCGTTTTGGCTGCCGGCCAGTCTAGAAAATGAACTGCAGCAAGACAAGAACGACAGTGAGCAGATAACTTAGACCATGGCAGTGTCCTAGGCAAGATGGTGGCTTCCCAGGAGGGTGGCAACAAAGAATAACTGTGACAGATGAACGAGGCAAAGCGAGACTAAGTATATACATTTAGCATCCTATCCCAAATTTTTAAGACAGGTTGGCTACTTCTCTGTGGTTAGTTGCCCACTACTTTGAGCCAAATATAGAAGGTATTCCCCAAAGACCACTGCTATTGAAGACTGGGACCTAAGAAACAGGGCCATAGCTGCCTCAAGGCTACTGAGAACCATTTCCCATAGTCAGAGATTGTTTCTTGTTTCGGAAAAGTCCAATATCCAAAGTGATTCTGGAGATCAACCCATAACCCACATGCTTCTCACGTACACATGCTGTCAGATAGCGCATCTCACCCACATACACATGCTTTCAAAGAAAAGATGACATTATCCAAAGAACAGCATGCACACACTTAGATAGCTCCTGCACTTTGTGTTAATTTTAAGTGAAAAACTGCCTTGCCATTTTCAATCTTAACACTGAACTGTGCAGCACTTGAACACTTCTCTTTGGACTTCTACAAGAGAAGACTGAGAACTGAGAAGAACATGTGGGAGGACAGCGAGAGGGTCATAACACACAGAAGTCAGAACCACTCTGGTATTAGTCCTCTGCAACATGACAAGGGTCATACTGGCCAGAGCTGAGTTCCCACCGCGTTGCCCCCAGGACAGGAGCTGGCTAAGGGAACCAAGGCATTGGCGGAATTCTCTTTTATATTTATACACAGATTCAAGCCCAGGAGAAGTCTTCCTGGATCCTGGATCTTGCTTAGAGGCAAGCAGCTTGGGTCACACACCCAGTGAGTGTCCAAGCTTAGGCAGGAAGTTTGCAGTGGCAGGGGTATGGTCATGGGAAGTGAAATTCTAAACCAGAAGAACGTTCATAAAGTTAGAGGCCCTGACTAGGCAATCCCCGAAAATTTTAATGAGAAGAAAAATGAATGTTGCTATGGGAACCAAGGAGGCTGCTCAGATCTTAAAAGGTCATGCTGAACATCAGGCAGAAACAGTGAAAGCAAAGGGAAGGAGAGGCAGCTGGGACAACCCTAAGAGGACGATGTGGACGAGGGTGTTCTCTCAGAAGTCTACAAGCCAGAATGCATGCGGATTACAGAAACCACACGGGCAACATATTAGGGCAGCTCTATTGTTTTAGGGGCAGCTCTATCGTTAAAATTGTCTGAATATTTTTATTTCTAGTGCATGGAGTATAGGGAATTTATATTTAGCTTCTTTAAAAGAAAACATGAGTACCGGTAAGGTGAAACGAAAGTCCAAAACAAATATAAAGATTTTAAAAAATCAAGTAGCTCCAAAATGGGTTCAAGTCACTTGGCATAGTTTTACCTTTTGCTCCCACAACTTGGAAATTTTATTTTGGTTTATTGCTGTTGATGATTAAGGAAGCAATCACAACTAACCGGGCAATGCTAAGACCCCTAGAAGGATCTTATGATCGTCCTACTGACTAGGTGGTACCGCAGGATGGAACAATCAAGGACTAATAACAAGCTTGTGCAAAGCATGCTGATGGATGTCTGTAGGGTGAAGGGCTGGCTCCTGACCTGCCAAAGACCTCTTCGTTCTGCTCTTGCCCAATGGACATGATCTATGGTTCGACTGGTGATGCAGAGGGCAAGATTATCACATCTCTGGTTGGGAGCAAGCCAGGGATGACGGTAAATTTCCTGTCCTACAGAATCAAGAGTTCAGTGATCTCTCCGAGCTGAAGAAATAAAATAGGGATCCAATCAGAGCTCTGCACTTGTGTTGTAAAAAATAAACAGGAATGAGAACAGACACTTAAGAGATGCTAAATGGTCAAAAAGGCAAAACCAAAGCAATCCATCTCTACAGGTGTTAGCTGCAAGCTCAAGAAGCTGGTACAAAACTCTCATGTACCTCACACTCCGTTGACAGAGGCACAGTTTGGGAAGATGAGGATGAGGATCCATAACCTTGCTCTAGGCAAGGCCGTTTGTTGAAGGATACAGTTAGTGCCTTCTGCCATACATGAGAGGACGAAAACCTTAAGTATGCGAGGCAAGTAGTTAAGACGCTAAAATGATGCAAAGCCACATTACACAGGACACTCAGCTCAACACAGGAAAACGAAAGGGCAAGTGTACTGCAGACCAGTCTTGACGAGGCAGTGTTGGATGGGGAGGCTGCGAGTCTCCAGTAGGTGTAACCAGCCCCAAGACCAGAAACCAGCTCTCCAAGGCGGCCCTGAGGTTGCTCCCAAGTCTAAATTCACTAACATTTCAGGATTCCAATGGAGAGTGAATGCCACCTGACAAAAATATCACAGAGAAAGGCTGGTTTTACACCCTCAGTGGTCCCTTACAAAACTGACATTCCACTATATAAATTCAGTGACAAGTTTCCAAGTGGCGCCCAGTTGCTAAAGGTGCGAAGTCTAATGATGTAAATGCCACCTACCATTTTCTGCACACACCCACACCTGAAGGCTTTCTTTTAGCACAGGACAAGCTCAAATCAACACTTATGCCCATCTGGAGTACAAGTTTAAAATTTTTTTTTCTGCCCCTAAGAACATGTTGCTGCTTGATTTATTTGTTGCGGTCCTTTATCTTAAAAATGGCATCTTGTAGTCCTCGACTAAGCCTTTGGATATTTTGCTCTGTTCAGAAACACGGCCTATGCTCAGTTTGAGATAGCCATCCTGGAGGTGTATTCTTGGCCAAATCTTTTAAAATCTTGGCAATGTCTTCCTCCCAGGGCTCATTCCAGATGAGCAGCCTGCTATTATGGGCTGTTCTCACATCTCTGTCCGCAGATGCACCAGATCCGTCTAACAAAGGTTTCCTGGCACTGAACACAGACTAAGAGATACTACTGATCATCATGATGAAGCAAGGCACTGAGCGTTTTTCACAGACATGGTTGTCCCTCCCCTATGGGGCTGGAGGCTGAGCTCTCAGCCTCTGCTTCTACCGCTGCCCTTGGTCCTTCTGCAGCCTCATCCCCCGGTATTGATCCTTTTATGAACTCACACACTCTTCACCTTTGGTCCTGTCTGCAAGTGTGAAATGCCTCCCCAGCCTCTTGCTCCACTCTCCCAGTTTATCCCTCAACCCTCTTTAGAGCCCTCTACACCAAAGCACCCGTCTGCCTCTATCTGCCTGTGCACCTATCCCAGGAGCCCCAAAACCTCCCTAGCAGAGCTTCCCTCATTCAGTCTTGAGTACTCACAGCCCCTAGAGAAGAAAGTGGCGCAGAGCAGGCTAGCATTACGTAGTTATTACACCAACTGGTAACTTGTAACTTCTCCGTGTACCTCTAGGTTATAAACTCCCTGGGGATATTTTGTCCCAAGGCATCACAAAATAATAGAAAGGAATAGCAATTCTGCTTAGTATGTGTAGGCACTCTGCTAAGCACTTTCTATGGATTGTCTTTAACTCTTCTGAACTCTCCATGAGACAGGGACGATGATTCTCATTCTGACATGAAGAAAACATAGAGTCATGCAGCTGGAAGCTGACCCGGCACGCCACAGACTGCCGGCAATCTTAAGGCACTCCGTTCCCAAGGCCAGCAGAGCCATGCTGGACAAATGACTCACACCCGCATCTGTAGAGTGAAATCATGCACAACGCACAGGAGAGGTTTGCTGTATTAGATGTTAAATATCCAGTAGTCTATGAACTGATTGCTATTATTTGGTCTTTGTGGGAATGTGAGCTCAGCTACCTCCAATAGTGAGGAAGGAAGGCGTACATCAGAAGCACTTGGTTTTAAGGTCTAATACTAAATTTTACTCCCCAGTACCTATTTCCTTTTTTTTTTTTTTTAATGTTACCTATGCCGAAAAGGGGAAAATGTTCTTCATTCCCTCTGGGGCCTCTATAAGGATGTGATACACTGTTGAGATGGGGACAGACAATCTACTGGGACTTGGAAGGGGAACCCTCAGGAGGAAATAATACACTCCAGCTTGGTGGCTCCTTATGAAACAGCTGGTTTCAATCTGATACAATTTTTGCTAATTTTAGCTTTTACTAAACACAGAAGTAGCTTGAGCACTTGATGCTTTGGCTTTGAAAAACCAAAACTATGTTTTGAGGAACTGCACTGTACCTAAGGAGGCCTTCCAGGGCTGCTGTCTGCTGCAGGGTATGGCGTCAGTTTCAAGATTTGGTTTCAAATAATGTTAGCACTGTTAAAAAGAAAAAAAAATGAAGACCATCCCTTGAAGGTCTCTCAGATGCAGGTATTTTCCTTCATTCACATCACCTAGTGCCAGGTGGGTTCTGTTCTACTGGAAGCCACTTGTGAACTTGAGCACGGAGGGACATTTCCACAAGACTTAGGCTGGCACTCGCTCCCGTCTCCGCCCCCTGCATGGGGAGGGGCCGGCGGCCCGGGCAATGGGCAATGCCAGCGAGTCACCTTTAGGGAAGTGCCTTTTTCCTCCTCAAAACAGACGTAAACAGTATGTCCACCTGGGATTCAACCCTGGCTGCACATCACGGGGCCTTTAAAAGTGATGTTGGTGGCCAGGGTCTGCTGTTGACCGCTGAAACGAAAATCTCTGGGAAGTAGAGTCATCGATGCATGTTTGAAAAAATGCAGGTGGGTGTGCTGGGGAGCCGTGGTACAGAGCTTGGATTATAGCCTATTTTGTGGTTATTTCAGGCAGAAGCAAAGTCAGTAAAACTTTTATTATTGAAGATCTTTATTCTCAAAATCTACAAACTTTAAAAAACTGACCTTTGGGTAGTAAAATGAATTTGACAGTGATTTAAGCTTGCTCATGACAAGAGAGAAGGAAAAGTTGTTAAAATGGAACAATTATATATGCATTCATCTATAAACATGAACTTTTAATGTTTATAAGCTGTGATTACAATACACATATGTATGTAACATATTATGCAGCACACGCGTATGGTTAGACACATACATATGCTACGCTGTGATATCATTTAGGTGTCACTTAGTAAGAGCCACCCTCCCAGTCAAGAGCAGGGTAGGGTGTGAAACACTGTTCTAAAGAAGGACTTGGCCAGGATTATTCGGGGAGTAGGGTGTGAGATACCCTCGTTTTGGCTAGTTCTTAACAGTCCTAGCAACCTCAACTTCTGCTGTCTCATCTTTGAAGGCCTCCTTGAGCCTCAGACCTGGACAGAAGCTTCTCCCCGTCAGAACTCATCAGGCACTGGAGTTTATAATCCCCGGCCCAGAGCTGTGCCCAGCAGACAAGCACGTTCGGTGCACCCGAGGGGCTGCAGCCCAACATCCCGGGTGCGTGCCAGTTCCCGCCAGCGCTCCGGCTGTATTCCCTCAGCGTCTCCTCCGGCTGGGTCAGCTGCAAAGCTGTGCTTATCCGCTCTTCCACCAGGTGGAAAGAGAAAACGGTGCCACCTGCAGACTGAAGCCACAGCCAGGCCTTGCCTTGTCCATGCCCAGCTCCACCTCAGCACCCTCTTCCACCAGCCTGTTGGACTTCTTGTCCCTCGTCAGCCCCGCAAGGGTGAACATTCTCCGCTTGAGGCACCCTCCCTCCTCCCCTGAGATGATGTGGTGTAGTCATGTAGCTCGAACTGCCATGCACATACTGGGGATTCATTTGTGTCTTCAACCCAGATCCTTCACGACTTCCTGGAGCCATCTTTGTGGCAGGATGCATGGTGGGCCAGTGACAATTCAAACTCAAGTCAGCCACAGCTGCATCCGACCACCCCGCTCCACCCTCACACGGTCTACCTCCCGTAGCCCTGATCCGCACGGAGCCAGTTCCTTGTAATAAATCCCTTGAGCGCATCCATATCAAGAGAACCTGCTTACTCTCCTTGTACCCCTTGTTCTTTTTCCCTGGTTGAACACGGGCACTACTTTCTTCTCTTCTTTCACCTCAGCAAACTGAGTTAATTCTCTTTCCCAAATTTTCCTGATTTACTCCCTCCTTCCCATGAACACTGTCGCAGTGTTAGTTCAAGCTGTCTTCTCTTGCTTGGTGTGTGCAAAACAAGCGAACTGGTTCCCCTGTCTCGGTTCTCGCACCAACTCACCGTCAGGCTTAGTGCTGTGGATCACAAGCTTCTCTGATGACAGAACGTTCGAGATGTGCTTGGCCCTGCACAACAGCCTCTAGCTGTGTACGTAGCAGCGCAGTTCTAGACCACCAGGGTTATTCCAAAAAATGCCAAATCATATAGAGATTTCTCAAGAAAGTAAATACTGGAAAGTGTTTGACAATACTTAGATGTGAAATAAAAAAATATATTTCTGTATATACATAATAGGAGGGAACACATGAGGCTATTTATGGTGATTTTTTTCTGCAAGCAGAACTGTAAATGAATTGCAACTCTTCATTCAACAAATAATTGTTGGGCATCTATCTACCGTGGGCCAAGTGTCCTACTAGAAAGATTCTGGAGATGTAAACTAGCTAGTTTAGGTTCTTGCTGCCTTCAGGAGGATTTACATCTAGATTAACCAGCTATGCAATGACTATCTCGTGCACGGACAGGTATAACAGTGGCAGAACTAGGACCAGAAAACAGGGCTCTGCTCCAGGGTAGTGACTTTTAGACAGCCCTAAAATGAAGTAATGTGTAATTTTAAGAGAACAGTATGCACGTAAAGCCTCTTCAGTCCCAGATGCACCTTTAGCAGCTGTGAGGATGGCATGGCCTACTGGCTCAGGCTAGAGGCCCCTAAGAGTCCTTAAATGAGGGTGCGGTGGACTTTCCTGCTATTAGGCTCTTTTGTTTTAAGGGCAAAGCATTTTTCTGCTACTTGCTCCAAGATGCAAGTTCCTACAGATGACTACGGGAGCCAACAGGAAAGGCCAACCCAAGCCAAACCACACAGCAAACCAAATGAAAGGAATATGTACCCCACCCCCAATCAGGATCACGAGTGTCTCCAGTAAGGGACAAAGATGCACTGCTCATCTGCTTCCTCTGAGCACGCGAGGCTGACATCTCACTGGTCCCAGCACTGGGGTGACAGTTGCATAGAAACTCATGACTCTACGTGAAGCAGTTCTGCGCCCCCATCCAGTCGCTCTTCCTGTGGTTGGGGTCGGGGGCACGGTAGACTCAAGGGCCTTTAGCCTGCCTCAGGTTGGGGCTCTGGATGCTTCTAAAGTTTCTCCTAAGGAAATTCAATTCCCAGAGTGGGAAGCCTCTCACAGTCTTGCAGCGGAGCATGGAGTGCTTCCAAGGTATGACACGAACATTTCTAGTCTTTGGTAAATTCCATCAAAATAGCACCCACACTCCACCTCTCTAATATGAACATGCACTAGACCATGTGGTAAAAGATTAACCTCCTGATAGGGAGAGCGACAACATACCAGGAGCAAGAAGACCCAGATTCTGGTCACGGAAACGTCTCTGTGCCCCTTTAGCCCAGCAACCTCCACTCTGTCACTTGTGAATTGAATGAACTCAGTATAATATAGGTCACTATCCCGGTCATACGACAGGCTGAGCACTTGGCAACATCTTGCCGTGCCTTAAAGCAACAATTTAAAGCTCAGGAATTAGAGCTGGAAGGAGGCATTTCTTCTCGTAACTGCAGCTTTCCCAGACAGCTGGAAAAGCACAGGTGCAATCAGAGGAGGGAAAAGGTCAAGAAAGCCTTTCTTAGACCCCAGCATTGTGCTGCACCTGACAAATCAATTGGAGAGGCCCCGCTGGCAGGAACGGGACCAACAGACAACAGGACACCAAGCGCGAGGGAGAGTCGTGCCCTTCACTCTGAATGTGAGCAAACGTGCACTCAGATGTTCACACCAGCCCTCTGGGCTCCTCTCCAACCCCACGCTGGCAAATCAATGCAACGAGATGTCCTGCAGACACCTGCCATGCACGCGCTGATTCCTTTTCATGCAATATCAGCTTTAACTTCTCTCTGACTTACTAGGAGTGAGAGCACTAAAGGACTGCAGTTGGGTGGATCTTAGAACAGAAAAGACAACAGTGAGAAAGGTGGCAAAACTTGAACAAAGCCTGTACCTTCATTAATAACACAGCTTTGTGAAATCAAAGCATGGGTTTCCCCTGGAGATCAGACCCACTTCCAAGCCTACTGAGGCTCCGGGCAGAACTCAGATCCTTGCAGTTGTAGGACTAAGGTCCCTGTTTGCTTGCTGGCTGTTGGCCAAGGGTTGGTCTCGGCGCCGAGGGACCCTCCTCAGATCCCTTCCACAGGGCTCCTTCCTGAGGCACTCACAGAGGGCCCACCACAAAAGTCTCGCTTTGGATTACTCAAAGCCAAATGATTAGGGACTGCGGTCACACCCACAAAAGCACTCTCCATCTGAAGCACCAAAATCAGCGTGCTATTCCCTCACATGCAAACTCCTGCCCATGCCGAGGGAAGGGACTGCACTCTGCACATATACCATGAACCGTGCAGTCAACTTGAAATTCTGTCTACCACAGGTACCATGTTAATTTCTTACCTGTAATCCCTATACGATTACTATGTGAGATGTTCACAATTGAAGAGCGAAAGTATTCTTGCAGGGATTCTAGATTTCAAAATGAAAAAAATGTAAAATATGGAATAAAAATCATGTGCTTTGAAGTAATACAATTATTTGTAAATTTATCTGGCTTGTGCTACTATGTTGACTTTGTAAAATGAGAAAGAGTTATGTCAGGGCCACACACTTCTCTGAAGTTACACACCAGATCAAGTCATTGGGATAAGAATTACAGAATACTGCAATGCTACTTCATCTTCAAAAAAAAGGGATGATCCTCAATTTAAGAGAATCCTTCCAGAAGGGCAAGGTGAAAGTCTGTTCTACATTTATGATCAGCATTTGTTTCAAGCATATAGATTTCTTATTGATGAACTGCCTTTGGTGAGCTTAATTTGCTTTATGTTTCATCACAATTGTCTATGGGCCTTTACGTCTCACATAGCTTCTGACACTGTGTGATATAGTGTAGATCTTAGATGTCCTCCAAAGGTCATGTGTTGAAGGGTTGCCCCCGCCTGATGGTGCTACCTGGAGGAGGTAAAGCTATTAGGAGGTGGGGCCAAGGAGAAGAAAGGTATGTCATTGGAGAAGTGCTCCTGGAACACTATTGGGACTCTGGCTCAGCCTCTCTCTCACCTTTGGCTTCCTGGCTGCCATGAGGTGAGCAGGTTTGGCCGGCCACATGCTCCCCAACATGATGTTCTGCCTGGTCCCCTAGCAACAGAGTCAGGGACTAGACCTGCGACCTCTGAAATCATGAGCTGACATAAATCTTCCCTCCGTTCAAGTCATTTGCCTCAGGAATTTTGTTAGTGACAGAAAACTGACTAATACACACCATTATGATCATGAGCACATCTCACATTATACACACATGTGCACATGGCATCCATGCAGCTTCTGACTAGCAAGTATGTTAACTGGAGATAACAATTACGCTAGTTAAATTATAAGCCTAAGTGTACTGTGATATCAAAGGGTAAGGTGTTATGCCAAGGTATGTGAGATATTTTGGATATATACAATTTTACAAAAGTATGTTCTCTGAATAAAGTGTTTGTCTTAGTTACTTTTCTCTCCTTGCTGAGACAAAATATCCAACACCCAAAGTTAAAGGATTAAAGGTTTTTTTAGCTCTCATTTTGTGGAGGTTTCAGTCCATAATCAGCCGGCTTCCAGGCAGGGTGACATGGCACAGGGGCAACACTTCAGCAAAAAACAACAAAAGCAAAAGCGGGAGAACAAGCCTCTTTTCCTCCCTTATACTGTAAGCAAGTTACTCCCCCTACCCTAGGGTGGGTGCAGCACTCACTCCATCTCTGTGCCCTCCTCTTGCACAGGAGGAGGGTTTTTACAAAGTGAGGACCCTGGCCCCCTGCAGAGTCACTTAGTTAAACTTCTAAACTTGTCAAGTTGACACGATGTATCAACCATTTTGGTTTTATAAACTGAAAAGTGTCTTTTAAAAAAAGTGATAAATACCAGAAACTAAATAATACTGAAGGCATGTATTCACTCTGGGAAATGTCTACATTTCCTCACAGAATATGTATCAAAGCTCAAGGCCTTATCTTCTTGCTGTCTATAAGATATTATTATATGTGTCAAATGCAAAAGCTGCTGTTCATTGAACAGTTCACCTCAAAATTTTGTATCAGAGGTGGAAAATTAGAGTAAGAAGTCCATTACAAATACTTTAATACAGGAACAACTTTAAAATGCTTATCTTGGAATACTTGGGATTTGCTAATTTTCCAGAAAATTCCATTTATACAAACACAGAGGCAGAGAAACCCTAGCAAGGTCAAGAACTGCTAAAACAGGTTTATCGTGGAGATCTTAATTTGACCAGGAATGAAATCATGCTGGCATTTCAACAGGGAAGATAACTTAGTCTTGGATCAGAGCAGAAAGAGGCAGAAAGACCAGTCTGACAACCTATCAGTGATTAAGCTAGAGATAAGGAAGAGGACTGTCCAGGGGTGGCGCGTAAGGCACTGAACAGGCCAGTGTCCTGTGAGGACATAATACTTAAGGACTTTGGGCTAGATGTGGACTGGATGTGGGGACCGAGGCTGGTGTCAAGTTCCTCACATGGCAGACATGGGAGATCAGCACAGATTTCCACAGACAGCGCAAGGGAGACGAGGGCAGGAAGTATACAGAGAAGCACAGGGTAAGTGAAGTGGTCACAACAGAGCTGAGCAAACTACTTCCAAGTCACCGAAGTGCAGCCTCCAAAAATTCACTTTTCCAACAAATCTGTATTCAGTATCTACCATGAACACGTTACTGTGCTAGACCTTGGAATACGAAGATGTCTAAGATGTGGACTCTGCTACACTTGGAAGAATACCAAGTATGCTAGACAGGCATATAAAGTACAATTTAATGTTCAGAATGACAATGGCCAATGTTTACTAACTCCTGATATAAGGTGACAAATCAGGGTTAGAAATCCCTAGAGCAATTCTAGAGCTTGCATGCTTAGAAACTGACTTCGAACTTGAGGTTGGATATGACACAACAGAGGATTTTTAGGGACTTCTGCCCATAGCTGGCAAACTAAACTACCTAGAATCTCTAGCAATACCTATTTAGAAACTATGGCCTGAATAGCAGCCAGACTTTGTGTGACTTTAAATCACTGCCATTCTAGGGTCAGAATTTCAAAATTAAAATCAAGTTTCCCAGA